CGGTTGCCAGGACCATCGAATGGGTGTCCAATGGAGGTCCATAAGCAGTGTATAGTCCAACCAGGACACCCATTGGATTTATTTATAGTTGACTCGTCCAGTGGAAACCAATGATTTTGGCCCATGATCATGATCTGTTACAAAGATGGAACACTAGAGGTTCCTTGCTGTTAATGGAATCAGTCAAGTACAAGCCAAGCACTGTTACATATTTGTACATCGTCACACATAATCACAACCCTGGCGGCTTGGCGGCTACGGTCACAAACAGCGAGAAAAGTCCAAAAAGAAAGGTCACATACATATAGTCACATGATGTCACATGTTGTGTGTTTTTTTAAACCGCATCTCTTTGGGCTACATCATCCTCAGGGTGGTGGGAGGACTTCTTCCCTCACACCCGGCTTCACTCCGGATCTGCCGCGACGGAAGAAGACGGGGGAACAAAGGGATCGGTCACCCCTCGGAATGGTCTTCGGTGTGGTGCAAGGAGTGATTCTTCACGACAAGAGCAGATGATTGGTGATTGGGCCATTTCACTTCAGACCTACACCTACTAGCACGCAGAAATGGTCACTGATCATAGGCACAAGCTCATACTTGTCGCAGTTCGAATGCGCCAGTGTAACGGTTTGGCCTGAAAAAGACCGGGTTCCACCAGGATTTCACTTGTCGCTTTGTATAATTTCAGCCGCCAAATGTTACACTGACTATGTACAAAGTGGCATGAACCACGAAACAAGAGCCACGTGCTGAACTCGAAGATGAGCGACGGCTGTGCCAAAGATTGGGGCTGCAAAGCAGCCGGCTTGAGACAAGCATCAGCAAAAGAAACCAAGACAGCCAGCAGGGTGACCGGCATCGGCATAAAGAGAAGAAGTGATGAACCGGTCCAGTCCGACTGTCCAACATCATTCTAATTGCGCGAATCCTCTTTGCACGGCAAGCAAACTTCAATCAATACCCAACTGGAAGACGCAGCTCCAGGCAGGCAAAGGGTCCAGTCAAACAAGTGTTCAGATTCTGACAACACACACAACACACTTCAAGCTTGTCTTGGCTCAAGCTCACAAGGCTTCACAGCAAATCGCAGCAAGAAAGCTTGGCCTGAACCTAACAGCAAATCGAAGCTGCTACAGTACTCATCCTCATCATCCAATTGCCTGCCACGGATTTGCTTCCACTTGCGGATGTGAGTGGGAGTTACAAAACAGTTGACTTCTTGTGATTTGGCAGTTTCTGCTCCGTACTTCATCTATACTTAAAGAAATGGGGTATGTTGGTTGCAATGTCAAAGCAGCGTGGGGACAGGGGTGTCCCGCAAAGCAGCGTGTGTGCCAGCATGTGAGCATGGTCAGCCTACCAAAGCCGGGTGAGTTGCATCAAAGTCCCCAAAAGTGAAAGTGCTTGGCCTTGCCGTCAACCACGGATTTCCTTGGATCGTCAGATCCTCCCATGGCCCATTACACGAATTAGCCCGAGGAAACGTCACCCTGTTTGGAAGCAGACCCCCCCCGTCAAGGTCTATAGAGTCTAGGTGCTGCTAGACCTGGTCTAGGTCTAGATTCTTGGTCTTTGTAACCACTGGTGACTTGTGACCTGTGAGAGGACGAAAAACTAACAAAAAACCTCTCTCCCCTACTGGTCAACTATCTTCTGTTCATTCTTCCGTCTGACGAGCAAAGAGATGGGTTCCAGATGGTTCCAGGCTGTGAATCCTCAACTCTTCCCCTACTGGATCCATCTGGATCCCTTGGGCAGACGAGTCCGACTCCTCGAGAACCAATGAACGGGTTGAGTCAGAAAACCATCGCATCGAGCCATCTTCCTATCACTGGCACTGCAGCATCGCACTGGAAGATGTTTCACCAAACAACAATGATAGTTCTTGAGCTCTTGAGTACGAAGCCTGAAAGAGTCACTCACATGTCGGATCACTCAAGAGACGTCTTTATTCTCCCAACGCACCCTCTTTCAGGTTTCTAGGAACCGGCCGTCTCGTCCCCCGACCGGTCGAGCCGGCACCTCAGAGAGCGTTTCCTCCTCACTGGTCGGCCAGTGAGTTTGTGACCTGCCAACATCCACATCCAAGTGGTGGCTTTTTGAGCGAACACTTGGTGGGGCACCAAGTCATTTTTGAGGTGGAGCTGAAGCAGAAATGGATCACTCCATGGGGACATCTTGACCGACGTCCTTTCAGGTCGGTCAATGTAGGCATATAGGAGTGTCTGGGGAAGAAGAAGAAATTGCTACTAATCCCGAGTACCTATTGACAAACGGACCCCTATTAATCGGAAACCCCTAAGTGCGGCTTATTTTCGTTTTTCAAATACCGCCCTTTCAAGCCGCTACTGAACTACCAACATTGCCGATTTTAGAGGATTCCTAAAACAACCGTAACTGCCCACCTGTCCGCCATGTCTATCCGCCATGACACACCGCGTTTACACCAGCAGGTTTTCCTTCCCCCAATGGCACGGACTCACGCAAACGCACTTGCCACCGAGGTCATGCAAAACCGCATGGCACAGCGACATCACCTTTCGAACGCTTTAGTTGTTAGTCTAATGAAGAATCACTATAATTCGATTAAAGGTGTTTGTAGGGGAAAAGGAAGACCCTTGGATCTGGAGGTTTTTTGAACATTTTGATACGAGTTTAATAAATGTATAATATAAAATTTTCCTCGGTGACTTTTTGGTTTTGAAGCTCTTCCCAGGTGACCCTATTTTGGACCCCCCGATTTCAGGGACCCCCTATTAAAAAAAATGCGACCGAGGTTTCATGATTAGGGGGGGGTTTATTAGGTGGACGGACTATTTTCAAGTGGTGTTCCACCAGCCCCAATTGCACTGTGAGTGAAGGTCAGGGGTCCCCAGCTAGTGAGTGTCATTGTCTTTCGGACCAAATACCTCTGATAGGACCAACGCCTTTGATTCACATGGGTCGATCTGGTTGACCATGGCTGGAGGGTTCTCTCTGCCTCCAATGAATAGAGGCCCCCAAGTCCCAAGTCGTTGGACGCTCAAAAGAACACGCCACCACCGCACTTTGACGTGATCCAAAGTAAACACACGAACATGCATGGTTCAGAACACCAAACCGGCTTTTTGGCTTTTGGCTCCAGTAAACACGGCCAACGAAACCAGAAAAAGCAACATCTTGTGCAAGGCACAAGTTGTGGAATCACAAATGAACATCCATCCGACATCCTTCACGCTCTGAGTTCAAGGGCATTCATTGGGGAATCAAGCAATCCTTTCTAAATCACCTCATTGCGGGTCAATGTTCCACAACGCCTCCCCGTCGCCCCTTCCCCCCGTCGCCTGGACCTCGCTCGCATGGCGGCCGTTCAGGTGAACACTCGCCAGCCGTGCGCAATGGCCGAGGGAGAGCCGCTGAAAATTGATGACTGCCACAGCATCCGCTGCACTTCTCATGGAGAAGCCCTGACTTTCCCTCTGCTCCCCTAAACCACTTTTATAGGGCCAAAAACATAAACTCTGACTCACGTCACCCCGTTTCTCTGTCGATGCCGTCAGTTGGAGTGTAGCCGAACTCGCCGGTCGAACATGTTCGAACTACTCGCCCAGCTGCGTTGGAAGCCCACGTTCCCATAGCTTCTGGTTTACATGTCTGGCATATATGCCTACATTGGGGTGGTTTGAGGGGTCAATGGGGCGGCAGTCCTATGGAGTGTCTGAATTCTTCGCATCGCAACGGAACGAACGACGAAACGAACGACGCGTCGACGGAAACGAACGGACGTTGCGAACGCCCCCCAATCAGGTCGGTCTGAGTCGGTGGCTTCCGCTCCTAAGGCCATCTGTCTGTCGGTGTTCTACCCATCGGGTTCTACCCATGGAACTAGAGACTATAGTAACGACCTGTTCAACATATGGAAGTAGCCTGGATCCTGTGAAGTTTACGTATGTAAAGCTGAAAGGAGTCTTTTCACTGGAACCATTGAACCATTGGACCCCTAACGCCTCTTGATCTTCTCGTGATTCAGGCTTTGCAAGGCCTCCACCAACCAGTCATATCCTGTCAATCACCGACCGGACCCATAACCACCTTTGCATCGCCCCTTCCAATGGTCGAGTCTAAAGTTTGAACCCACAGGTTGGCAACAGGCAGACCAACCCTGGTCAATCGAGCTAGACTCTCACTCTATATGGAATAACATGGAATAACTATATCCATGTAAAACCCCTTGGTAGGGTGGTCTACCCCTTGGTAGGGTGGTCTACCCCTTGGTAGGGTGGTCTCCCTATCAATATTGTACAATATACACCCAACATGCATCCCCACCATGAAGTAAGTCACCCAAGGTCGTCCTTGAAGGCCATTTAGGACTATTACTACCGCTCAAAGAACTGGAGTGGTTGGCGGAACAACCAAAGACCTTGGCAGAACTTCCGCGTTTGTGGAAGCAGCTCCCTCTTGCAAACTGTATACATCCATGCACATCTCTGGCTGGCACAGCAATTATCGAGCTGCAGGGCTCAACCCCATCAGTGACCACCTACAACTCGCCAAGTGCCGATTGAAATCCACTTCGCCAATGGCACGCAGCACTTGATTCATGTTCAGCATTCAATCACTGTTGTTTCTCTTTGACTGAAATACCGCTAAAGGAAATGTCCATGAACCAGCCTACAAAAACCGTGCTATCACTCCTGCTATCCTGTCCCGCACCGTTTGTCGTATTCTTGCAAGGGGCCATGGCCCCCTTCCCTGTTTGTTCGGTGTGCACTTCAACCTGTTTCTGTCGAATCAACTTTGCTCTGAGATCGAATTTGAAAAATTAAGTACTGCACGGCGTTCTTATCGTCACGTAAAAAATCAAACGCTCGTAGGGGCAAACTTACGTAGCCCCAGCATGGCTGCTGGTTGCTTGCAAAACCATCTCTCGGTCTCAAAACTTATTTCACTTTTGTCAGGTTTGCCAGCTTGAAAGGACATGTTCAAATGCGCAAGCTCAAATCAGTAGCCACGGCGTTGCTTTCGCGTTTGGTCAGCAATCTTCAGTGAAGCATTGCAACGCCAAAGACCTCAGCATGCATTCATGAAGTGTCGAAGTGCAAAGCTGTAAAAGCTCTTGACAGAACTCAAATGAAACCCTCTTGCTAAACAGGACACCAAGGTATGTGCGTTGACAATCGAGTACTTTAGGCCCCAGAAAGGCAAATCAGCTCTGATCAAAAGTACTTACCTGTTCCCCGGTTCATCTTCAAACACATAAACACATAAACACAATGCATTGTCTTTTGTGTCCCCCGTGCCTCCTCCTCAGGACAGCTCCTGTCAATCACTTCGAATTGACAAACACCTTTGACCTCTGAGTCTCTGATCGCGCACAGAAACCAAGTAGTGCTCACTTACATGACAGAACAGCAAAGAGGTTGGTAGAGGGACCCTTGCTACACCCAAACATCAGTACCAGCTGTTGACCCACAGACTGATTCGAACGCTAGGCTGTTCAACCAGCTAGGCTGTTCCCTATGACCAACTGGAGTCATGATTCATACAACCTGAGGGCTCTGACAGGCTCTGACAGGCTCTGATCTAAGATGTTTCGAGAAGATTAAGATCTGATAGAAACAACTTTCATCCAATTTCCTGAGTCATCCCGGTGTTTCTGCTCCATCTGTTCCATCGGTGCAAAATCAATCCACCCGATCGCCCGGGTTGAAACCGCTGATTTCACGGTCTGCTCGGTCTGAGCTCCGGGCGCTCCCGGGTTGGTTTCGGGGAGCGGGTTATGGAGCTCCGAAAAAGAGAACGGTCGTTTCGTCCTCCGAAAAAGCTAACTGGAGTCACTGTCATGACTTGATGGGGTATTGAACACTTGAACAATGTGCATGTATGGTGCATGAACATGGGAATAGTTTCTAGATGCTGGAATGCTGCTATTTCCCATACTATTAATTATATATTCCTTTAAAGTTTTAGAGACATGTCTCTCTTGGACAGCTACCGCTACCCTCGACAAAGTTCATCCTGGGGCAGCAAGCTGACACCCGATGGATGAGGCATGACAAGTGTTTGCACGCGACGAACTGACAGAATCTAGGAGTGTATTATTGGTTGCACCTCCCAAACACCCCGTGAAGAGAACAAATCAAAACGCAGTGCTTGCAGCCCTCTCCCTCTTCCCCGAGAACAAACCTTTCACCCGAACATGTCATCGTTCCGATGGGATTGCATAAGTTCTTTCAGGCTCAGGCCATGTTGAGTATGACTGGGCCTGTCGTGGTTTGATCCTGGAGCCAGCACCCGGAAGTTCCAGCCGTGTGAAGCTCCGGTCGATCACGGAGGACACTGAGTTGGTGAAAGGCAGGTCCAATGCGAGCAGGGGACATCGGGTTGGCTAAGCCACCGATGTTCGACATCCGACCAGCCTGGGAGGGAAAACCCTTGGAATTGATCTTCTTGAAGCAAACTCCCTCAGGTCCCTGACCTCTGCTGCTTCAGCCACAGCTTTCCAGCAACTGGCCAGCCTGGAGCAAGCAAGGAACTGAAGAGTCCTCCCAACAGACCGCGCAAAACTGGTCTCACCTGCGAGTTCCCTTCTAGGGGTCTCGCTGCCACGCCAAAACTGGCTGGTTTTGGAAGCTTCAGTGGTGAGTGGTGGTTCTGTGGGTTTTAATCCAAAGGCCTTAAGGATATGATCCACCTGCTATGGAGCCGTCCCTCAGCCGTCCCTCAACGTCCCTCTTTTAGTCCAGCTACATCGTGCTCGAACTGAGCCAACTGAGCCGTTCATCCTTTGAGCCCCTTACAATTGAGATAGTAATGGCCTCCAACCTAGTAGCTTCTTGTTACTAGTAGCGATGCCCTTGCTACTAGTAGTAATGCCTTTTGTTACTAGTAGCGATGCCCTTTGTTACTAGTAGCGATGCCCTTGTACTTACTAAGTAGCTTCGTTTGCTACGCAAATAAACAAGCTGCAATCCCTAAGAATCTGGGCCCTCCATGCATGGCAAGGGTTCTGAGATGCTCAGGTCGGGTCCGACCTGATGGAGGGTCCAGGAATATTCACACGGGAGCAGTATATCTGGAATCTACCCGCCCTTGGGAGCCATCGCTTGACAATAATCTTCAGGAAGCGAAACCTATCGACCGAGATCATGTTTTAGATTTGGATATAAGGCACCTATCGCCAAAACTGCATTCCCCGAGCTGTTTCCTGTTTCCCCCAAAAAAATGGTCAACAGAATCCGCTCCGCGGATACAGGACCACGCTATGTCATGCCATGCTATGGAACAAGTAGCACAGCCAGATTTGCCTACACCCAAACAATCTCGATTCTGAGTCGAAATGAATTTATGAATAGCTATACCAGCTGATGAACAAATGAGGGTAACTCCATAGAAGATCCTTTTCAACATCCCTCATTCACACTTCAACTGCTGGTCACCTTGCCCCGGCTTTGTGGGTTCGAACCCAAAACAACCTGTTTCTTTCCTTCCTCCTTGACCCCCGAGACCCGAAGTTCTGCCGTTTGAACCCAGGCACAGCTCATCCGCGTCATCGTCGTCGTTCGCGTCTCGCCCCAGCTCCTGAGGATCTGGACTTCGTCCAGCACCATACAAAGGGTCCTCAATGGATTACACTACTTGTGGATTGGCAGGTCAGTCCATGGCACACTTTTTGCCAGGTTTGTGGCATCTCCGCGCAGAAGTGGTAAGCTAAACATGTAAAGGTAAACCAACTGTCAAAAAGTAACAAAGAAACAGCCCCAAGTTTTGGGGGAGGATCTCATGACCTCATCATCATTGGGACCTGCTGAAATCGACCGCCGCCGCAAAAACCCTGCCGCAACAACCTCGGTTCTCGGTGCCGAGTGCGATCTAGGGGGTGGACCTGGGTGACCTGGGGAGTGGAGCCCACTGCAGCGATGGCCTCCAAACTATCAATGGCCTCCACCGAGTATCACCGGGCCGTTTAAACCCTGACTTCAAGTCAGTACTGTTTTTGTATGACCAAACCAAGCCAGTGACATGAGGTCCTTGACCTGCTGGGAAACCGATGACTCAACTCTTCCAAATCCTTATTCGACCCTCCTCAAAAAGGAGATCAGCTAGACATAGTTAGACCATCCACCTTGAACAAGTCCGAAAAAACCCTCCTTCGAGCGATACCAAGGGTCAGGGGCCCCTCGTAGCCAAACCCTGAACCCCTGTCTTACAGGACCTCCCCGACTTGCGTGTCTCAGATTCCCCATCAATGCATTCCCTGCAAAACACTCATTCAGGTCCTTTCACCGCACCTACCCACCCCACGACCCTGGAACCATCCGTAAGAACCCAGGGTTTTGAATCCGAACCCCGTGGGGCGCCACGGTCGGGTGCCACGTCGGGCGGTCGCCGACCGTGCCTCCGAGTTGGAGTCCGCCGCCGAGGCCACCGAGCGATTGCTGGAGGCGGCCGTGGTCGTCTGGAGCGGAGCCGTGGGTAGCCGTGGCCGGTCCGAGGGTTGACTCAGCACATGGTCATCAGCTTTCGGTCCATCCAGATGTGGAATTCCTGTTGGACCTATATTTGGTGAGTGTGAGTAGGTACGTTCTATATGTGGATGGTCCTGGATTCTGGAATTGCTTAGCAACAAAACACCTTTTGTTCTTGGATGGATGAGCTGAGCTGACAAGAATATGAGAAGGCTCCCTCGTGGGGGGTGTGCTCCCTTCTTGTGCGTCAACCGCGTCAGCACCAAAACTGGCCTATTGACCTACATTGGGGTGGAACGGGGTCAATAGGGCGGCATATATTCCACACATGGATGGTCTGGGATACACCAAGATACCTTGGTTGAAACCCTTGCTGTAGCTAGTTCGAGTCGGCGAATGCCAAAATCACTCCTTAGGATCCAGTCGTACCTCCTCAAAAGGTACGACTGGACCCGGCACCCACCCCAGTCCCACCGAACCGAAACGAGGGTACGACTGGATCCTTAGGGACCGGTGCTTCATCTGAGAATGTCAAAACCCCAAATGAAGCTCACGACATCCGACCCGGATAGGTCTGCTAGGTGAGCCGCTTCGCCGTCCAACCCCCGCCGACCCGCTAAGGCGAGTATCCCAAACGAGCGACGGCCCAGGGCAATGGTCCCAATGAACGCAATGGCCCCGTGTGTCGCCCCAACACAAACAACAAGCAAGTCCAACGAAATTCGATATATGTTGCACAAAAAAAGATCAAGAGTGTGATGTCACTGTAGATCGCACAACGGTATAGACCACGGCAAACCACGTTGATGGCAAATCCGAGAATCCTGACATCCCCATTTGTAGGTTCCACTTTCAGCTGTACCGTGATCCGGGGATTGCTCAGGGGTTCAGCCCGTGCTAGGTCC